TGGGGGGGAGGGGGGGGGGGGGGGGGGGGGTGTTAGTTCTAAGCATGGTTGGGTTTTTGTAATTGTAGATAACACTGTTATGATGCCGATCTAATATATACACACACACACATGTTACCAGTTTCAAAAAAATAGCCTTGGATTTGGGAGTTTTGGAGCTTGAATGCTGCACCCTTCAGTCCCATCAGAAAAGGGAAGCACGAAAACTGTTTCTAGCGGCTTTACACTTCAGCTGTGGTAGAAGAACAAGAAGGGAACTGTTTCTTCCTGTTAAAGATTGCAAGGATAATTTATCCTCAAATGTTGGAGTTGTAATTTTAACCAAGTTACTGCTGAAAATTACGAGAAACATACTCTTGAGTAATAATTACCCAAAAAGAGCTACATTGAAGATCTCTTTTGTTCTCACCTCTAAAAAAATGAGGACAGGTTTCCACTTTTTGAGTAATTTAGGATCATATTTTTGGTGTAGAAAGAAGCAGAATAAGTTTCTATGGTTATTGGAACAACTTGGTACTGAATTTTACCCCCTTAATTCAGATCAAATGATTTCCTTGAATCGTGGTAGCTAAAGAAATTGGAAAATAAAGCGTCTGATCCTCCATTGTCATTTAGCAGCTCAGGTTCAAATTACCTGCCCCTTGGATGGGGGATATGCAAGTTTTTTTAAAGAAAATAATGGTATAGAATATATTTATTCAGCTTTCGGTACCAAGTTGGTGCTGACAGAGGTTTGTAAGTCTGGTCTTGTATAGATTACAGAGCAAGAGATTCCAACAAGTCCATGCCATCAGACAACTCAGTTGCAAAAATTCCTTTGTGCCAATACACTATTCTTTTCATACATTTGAATTTAACAACAGCTATTCCTTCCAACTTTCATGAAAGCATCTTCATTTCTTGCCAACCATATCGTCCATGCTATGTATATTGGAATCTTTCGTCCATATTCTATGCTTGTCAAATGCTAATTGTTTTATTGGAGTTCTCTTCTTTGTAATTGGCGGTATTATTGATATGGTAATGGGCTCATATTGTGTAAAACAATGAGAAGATTGGGTAATTTCTGTTATGTCTTGAAACTCTATAGTTCCCGTGATTTTCCTTTAATGGAACAGGGATGAAAGGCTATGTTGCTCGGACTCTTCTAAAATGTCAAGGGGTGCGTGTCGGATTCGTCAAAAGTAGTGTGTTGTTGGAGAATCCGACACGGGTGCGGCATCGAAAGTGAAGAGTCCGCGCAACTTAGATGAAAGGCATGTTATGATTGCTTCATTATTCCACTACTTGTGGATGTTGAAACAGTATACTTTTTGACAGGTTGATAAGGAGGAAGTACGGCTGAGAAGAACAGTCGGTCTCAAGAAGGATGAGTATTTCTTGGATGGAAAACATATCACGTAAGTATTTTAAGAGTGTTGTTCATCCCTCCCTAACTTCTTTGCCTCTGCTGTCAGCTGCATGATAGAATCTTTTATTATGTTGCAGGAAGACAGAGGTCCAGAATTTGCTGGAAAGTGCTGGGTTTTCTCGGTCTAATCCCTATTATGTTGTGCAGCAGGGAAAGGTACATTAATATTATTTTTCATGAAAAGGTACATTAATATTGCTTTTCTTCTTCTTGTTCATTTCTTATATTCTCCTCATTTTCTCTCGCAGATAGCATCATTGACATTAATGAAGGATTCAGAACGACTTGATCTACTGAAGGAAATTGGAGGGACACGTGTTTATGAGGAGAGGCGTCGAGAAAGTTTAAAAATCATGCAGGAAACTGGCACGTTATTATCAAAATTTATGCTTCTCGAATATCAATGTTGTGTTGCTAACATTTTTGATAATCAGGTAACAAGAGAAAGCAAATTATTCAAGTTGTTCAATACTTGGACGAGAGATTGAATGAGCTTGAACAAGAGAAGGAGGAACTGAAAAAGTATCAACAGCTTGACAAGCAGCGTAAATCTCTGGAATACACAATTTTTGACAAAGAACTTCATGATGCACGCCAGAAATTGAACGAGGTAAGTAGTCCAATAGCAGAGTTGAAAGATAATCGAAAATTGTTCTTGAAGTTCTAACTTCAGTGTTGTTTGAGTTATCCTGAACTGGGCTTTAATTGTAAGTCATAATTACCTATCAATAGAATAAAATAAAATAAAAATTGTGAGTCATAGTTTAGAAAATGTTACACTTAGAACCCGAGATATTAAATATTGCTTCTAGTGCACATATGATGAGAGTGAACTAATGCTGTGGTTTAATCTCATTAATTTCATGGACTCTTGCATTACACCTTTTTTTGGGTGTTCATAAACCTGAACATTGTTGAAACTGTTCTTTAAGTATTCCTCCTATCATTTTATTTTAAATGCCAGGTCACAATTATATCTCGTATTCTTTTTCTTTTAGATGCTTTTGAAGCTCCTTTCAATCGGCCACACATTTGTTAGTTTATTTGATGCTATTAATGTGGCTTGGGAGAAATGCTCCCTATTGAATTTGTAATCTGGTCAAGGGGAGCCTGAGTGTCCCATGATGGTGACTGCTCTTGTCTATGATAACAGATCATATTTTAGATAACTGGCTGTATTTGCTTTGTTACCAGTCATAAGTTAATGCAGGACTTTGATTGGTAGTGATCTATCTGTCTACTTTGCTATGCAGAAATATAGCTTAATGTACAATTACTTTCATCAATTGCAGGTAGAAGAGGCTCGAAACAAAGTTGCCGAGAACTCTACTAAGATGTATGAGAGTGTGCTGGAGGCTCATGAAAAGTCCAAGGAGCTGGAGAAGTTGTCCAAAGATCTGACAAAAGAAATTCAAATTTTAAGCAAGGAGAAAGAAGCAGTAGAGAAACAGCGGACAGAGGCTATTAGAAAGCGAGCCAAGCTTGATCTTGATTACAAAGACCTTCAAGAGAAGATGTCCACAAATATTAAAGCTAAAGTATTCTTTTATTGCATGACAAATAATTATTCTTCCTAATTGCAAGATTATAATGTCAAACTAGCTATAAGAATGAACTTGTCATTTTATACTTTCTTTGATTCAGGATGATGCACAGAAACAACTCATGATTCTGGAGCGAGAAGTTCAAGAAACAAAGAATGCACTCAATGATATCAAGCCTTTGCATGAGAAACAAGTAAAAGAGGAGGAGGACATCACTAGAGGGTATGCCAATTGTATGAGGCACTCTTTTTATCAATCTAAGACTGATAGGCAAAATTTCAGAAAAACACTGACCTTTTAATTTCGCTACCAGAAAGCGTTTCGGTCCCTGAGCATATGAGATTTCAAGAGAGACATGCTTTATGGGTTGTGTGCTTCTTAAACTATTTCATCAGGACAAAAAGGAAAATAATCAATGCCTGTTTTCTTGTTTCTTGCTGGTCTCTTCTGATACATAGCTTTGAACCGTCTGGCGCAATGGCTGATGTTAATTTTATATAGCTATATGTGAACCAAAGATGCAAGATATGTGGTCAAGTTGTTTCATAGTATGTGATTGTGATTGTGTTTAGTATTTTGTTCCTGGTTTCTTTTTTCCTATACACTGGTTGTTATTATAGATTTGACAATCCTGGTGTCTTCAATAGGATTATGGACCGTGAAAAGAGACTTAGCATTCTTTATCAGAAACAAGGCCGTGCCACCCAATTTGCGAGCAAAGCTGCTCGGGACAAATGGCTCCAAAAAGAAATTGATGAATATGAGCGAGTTTTATCTTCAACCTTAATGCAGGTAATCCTTGTTAAAATTCTTAGCGCATGGAGCTATTTTGTTGTTTTCTTACTCTTTAAGCTTTTGATTTATGTTGTATATAAAATGTATACTGAAACTTTTAGAGTCGAGTTTACGCTCTTTCCTCCTCTTTCGATAAGTTTTTCATAGCCTAAACCCATAAACCCAGTCCACTTGCAGCCATGTTAATCAAAATAACTAAATTTAATGACTTGATCAAACACTGTCCCTCGTATTATAAGGTTCTCTCACCAGGAAATTTTCGGACCATCTTTTCCAGCCAAATAACAAGCGATCACTCAACAATGAACATTAACTGAAAGCGGTCCTAACAAACTAGATGCACACATCAAGGCATTCTGCCAACGAGCGAAGGCGATCACTCAAGACCACCAGTTGAGTGTGATTCGCTTTTCTGTTGAAAAGTACTATCCAGACGATCAACCATTAGGGCATATGACTAGTAAGGTAAATCAACTTATCTATCGGCGAGATGCAATGAATTCATTTGCCTTCGACATGACTTTTTGAAATGGGATTTTGAGAAGGTGGAGTTCAGTAACCCAGTTAGTGACCGAGGAGAAGTTGACAAGAAGACAACTAATGGAATGGTCCGAAAGTCGCTATAGAGGATCTATTTTGAGGTTTTACACACTGTGTATTAAAGGCAACAAAAAATGGTCTTCAACTTATTATTTAGTTGTTAGCATAAAACTTAATGGTGTTTCATTATATATTTACCTTTTAAATATACAATTTTTCAATATATTATAATCGTGGTCTATAGCATGACATTATTGTATGGTTCTTTGGTAAAAAATTTCTTCCTTTTGGCCTTTTTCCATCAATTCTTCTTTCACTCAATTCACTTCAATTTATTATTTATTATTCCAAGTAATCTTACTTTCTTACTTCAAAGGCCACAAAGTCATAAAATTAAAATAATAATGAAACAGGAATAACAATTATTATTGTTAACGGAAATAATTGTGGACAATTGAAAGAGTATCTACTATTTATTTTTAGCATTTTATTTTTCTTATTAGGTATATGTTTTCTTCTTCTAAGGAGCAAACTGTATTTTTGGAATTTTATTTTTCCTATATGTTTTCTCCTCCCAAAAAGCATAATATCTGTGTTTCTTTTTATTTTTGGCATTTTATTTTTATTTTTCATATATGTAGTAAATTTAGGCATTGAATAGCTAATGTATTACGTCTCTTAGTTCATTATTGGTATTTATGTTTGTTGACAATTTTTTGCCTTTTCCCCCCTCAAATATTTTTCTATATATTTCCTGAAAAACTCTACTATTAAGTCCATCATTGTGCACATTCATTGCTCAATTAGAAAGGAAAGACACTTTAAGGATTTTAACTATTTCAACATCATAAACCATCAAGAATCCAAAACCTTTTTGTGAGCTTGCAACTTTTCTACCATTTCCTTCACAATTTAATTCATCATAAGCCATCAACAAATTAATGCAATTTCCTCCCTTTACCCACGTAGTGCTTAATTATTTATTTGGAATGGATTCAATCAACAAAGATTCACAAAGCTTGGCAAATGACTACATGTCAGTCTTTGTCTTCTAATCAATGGTTTGTGACTTTGTGTATAGAAATAATTATAGCCAGCAGTACATCTTATATAAACATGGAGACAACAATGTAGTGTTTCGATAAGCTGTAATTGCACTTTTGTGGAGTGATTAATTTGAAAATTATATCCTAAAATATGGAGGCAACAAAGCTTGGTATATCTTAGCATGGTGAAGGTGGGAGCCAACTTTGTATGTGATCCTTTATCTTTTTTAGTTATTTCTATCTAAATTTTGTATACCCATATATAAGCTTTGTATGTATCAAATTTTAATTGAAAAATAATTTCCTAATGTGTATCTAAATCACAATTATATTGTTGGAGAGCAACTTCTATTTTACTTGGAATTTGGGAAATATTAATTATGAGGTTCCTAAGAGATACCCTTCGGGGTGGCCCAGTGGTTTGGGCTTGGGTTCTTCCATGTTGGAGGTCTCAAGTTTGAAACCCCTTGCCAGCAAAAGCAAGGGTTTTGCCTTCTGGTTCGAGCTCGTCGCACCGGGTTTGCCTAGTGCGGGTTACCTCTCCTATGTGATTTGCGAGCTATTGCATAGGAGCGAGGGTTTTACCCTGTGCGCACCCAAAGGGTAGCGGCTGCGGGTTTTCTTGTCATAAAAAAAAAAAAAGGTTCCTAAGAGATGAAAATATTATAAAGCACTTTCATCTTTTTATTTCATTGTATTTTAGGAGTAATTTAGAGCTAAATAAAGGTTTTGAGAATCAAGCTTTGTTGATTTTATTTTGTATCATATTTTTTGTTTGTTGTGTATTGGTTACTGTCGAGAATATAATTAAATAATAAAAGTGAGAATATAATTAAATAATAAAAGTGAGAATATAATTAAATAATAAAAGTGAGAATATAATTAAATAATAAAAGTGAGAATATAATTAAATAATAAAAGTGAGAATATAATTAAATAATAAAAGTGAGAATATAATTAAATAATAAAAGTGAGAATATAATTAAATAATAAAAGTGAGAATATAATTAAATAATAAAAGTGAGAATATAATTAAATAATAAAAGTGAGAATATAATTAAATAATAAAAGTGAGAATATAATTAAATAATAAAAGTGAGAATATAATTAAATAATAAAAGTGAGAATATAATTAAATAATAAAAGTGAGAATATAATTAAATAATAAAAGTGAGAATATAATTAAATAATAAAAGTGAGAATATAATTAAATAATAAAAGTGAGAATATAATTAAATAATAAAAGTGAGAATATAATTAAATAATAAAAGTGAGAATATAATTAAATAATAAAAGTGAGAATATAATTAAATAATAAAAGTGAGAATATAATTAAATAATAAAAGTGAGAATATAATTAAATAATAAAAGTGAGAATATAATTAAATAATAAAAGTGTGTTCTCTCTAGAAGCTTATGCTTTTACATGAGATGGTCATACGCTTTAACATGGTATTAGAGTAGACAAAGGTCTTGGGATCGAACCTCACCTGCACCCATATCAAAAAAAAATTCCACGTGCTTGGCCCATGAAAAAGAATCAAGCCCATCCGAAAGGGAGCGTGTTGAGAATATAATTAAAAAATATAAGTGTGTTCTCTTTAAAAACTTAAGCTTTTAGATGATATAGTCACACACTTCAACAGTTACTTGAGGATATGTGTACCAAAAAAAAAAAACCTAAATTGCGGTGCACTTGTAATATTGATTTCTTATGCATTATATTTTTACATAATTATCTCATATTAAGGAGTGTAATGCGATTTCTTATGCATTATACTTTTACATAATTATCTGATATTAAGGAACTCACATTTCTAGTCTCTAATTTATTTGTCTATCTATATATAATATAATTTTGGTCTTGTGAAATTGATGCATGTGATATGATCGTATGTTATTTTCTGATTTATTTCCTTCTTTTCTCTTACTTACACATTTTATTAATTTCAAATCCCATTTCTTTTAAAAAATATAACAGCTTGACTTTCCATCTTCCACTATAATTGTTAAGAGTAGTATCTATTAAATGTCAATTTTCATTTGTAGCATCAAGTCCTTTCCATCAATTAGATTTTTTTTTCAAGTAATTTTGTTCCTTTTTTTTTTTTTTAATTGATGTAAAATCTTAGGTTTTTGGAAACTCTTGGTTTCAGAATGAGGGTGCTTGCATTATTTTTATGTTGAGATAAATAAAAAATAAAAGTTTCTATGTTTTGATTTTCAATGAAAATTTAAGGATATATTTTGATTTTCCAAAATCCAATTTTTAGTTATTTTTAATATTCAAGAACAATTTTTTTTTCACTATATTCAATTAGGTTTTTTGTGATTGCGCGAGGCGCGGACATGTTTACTAGTTATAGCAAAACCAGATGTCTTAACTTCAAGTTAGATGCCACCAACAATAAATTCTTTTAACATGCTTGGTCTTTGAAAGCAAGAGTATGTGCTGCTAGGAATTGATATAGAAAAGAACTAGCTGAAGCAACTATTTCCATCCATAAAAGCTTAAAAATTTCCACGACTTTCTTCATTTCTGTTATTTCTTCCTCCATACTACTTCAAGTTGTTCTTTCTTTTGAGATGAGAGTCTATCGTAAACAACCTCTCTACCTCCAAGGCAATAGTAAAGTTTGGGTACCCTTTACTTTCCCTAGACCCCACTTTGTGGGAATACACTGGATATGTTGTCGTGAAAGCTTAAAATTTCACATGAGGTGAGACTCATAATGACAATGATTTAGCAAGCAAAGTTTCCTGCATATGCAGACAGAGACTTTTTTTTTTTCTGTTGAGAATAAAGACTCTCTGATACCACTGTTAGAAACAGCTACAGAGACCATAGAATGTTCTTTATGTATAACCTGATTAATCTAACAGGCAGCTTTTGTAAGCTCCCTTTCCTTCTTTTTACTTGTCATATTTTTGTTTGTCTTTTGTTTTTTGTGTTAAATAAGAAGCTTCACTTTTACTAAAAAACTGAGGAAAAGATTAGTACTCATTACCATCACTATGATTCTCTACTTATTGTCTTAATTCCTTTTTTTTCTATCTCAGGAGAAAAAGCTTCAAGATGAAATTGATCAACTCAAAAAAGACATGAGAGATCAAGATGATATAATCAAAGTTCGTAAAGTTGAAGTGGACAAAAAAGAAACCTTCATATCTGGTTATCGAAATGCTTATAATCAGTATAAAGTGGATAGAGACAAACTGCATGATGAGAGGAAGTATGATCCTTTTCAGTTATCTTAGGCTTATATGAGTGTTTTTTGAGCAGTATTATTTATCTAGAAATATCTGAACTCTTCAATTTCGTATTTGTGTTCGTCCCAGGTCTCTGTGGACACAGGAGACTGAACTGACTACTGAAATTGAACGGCTCAAGGCTGAAGTTGTGAAGGCAGAGAAAAGCCTAGATCATGCAACTCCTGGTGTGAGTAACTGCTTTAACATGTCATCATGTAACATTCCTGGGCTATATAGTTCCAACTTTAAAAACTTGGCACTTTTCTTTTTTTCCCCTTAATTTCATCAATGATAGTAATCCATTCTTCCAATATTTAACACCTGATTGATAAAAGAAATAAAAAATATTTAACACCTGATTGCCGAGAAAACGACCAAAATGGTCCTTAATATATGAGGGTTGAAGATTTTTGGTCCTTTATATATATCATCTTATTGAAATAGTCCTTAATGTATACAAAAAGATTACTATTTTGGTCCTTAACCTAAAACTAACCATACAAGTGAAAAATTTCTGTTAAACTTAACAGTGGGCAGCACCAAATTATCCCTTTCTCCCTCAGTTCTCTCTTTCACCACCTTTAGAGGGGATGCTCCATTTTCAATTCACCCACTTGTCATATTCTTGTAAATATATATATATATATATATATATATAGATACACACACTACACTCATTTGTTAATTCCCCTCTAAAATAATAATCCCCAGCAACTCCCATTTTTAGACACAAAAAAAAATCGATCCATGAAAATAAATATGAACCAAGTAAATTAGATAAAACACTCCATTTCTCTTTTAGGAGATCTCCATAAGTAAACTCTTTTCAAGACTAATAACTTTTTTATGTATTTGTTTTTTATTTCGCTGATGACATTAAAGGGTGAAAACGGAATGGATAAATGTGAAAAATAGAATCTTAAAATATTCTTTGAGATTTGAAGAGATTTTTGTGTGTCAATTTCTTTTCTGGTAAAATTTGGTTTTAAAAAGAAGGAGGAGGGTAATGGAGAGAAAAATAAATCAATTGAAAGTTGCAACAGAAGAAAGAAGATTGAGGGAGAAGAGGTTTGCCACGTGGCGATTTTGTGGGACCCACAGTTAAGTTTAACAAAAAGTATCACTGGTATAGTTAGTTTTAGGGTTAAAGACCAAAATGGTCATATTTTTATATACATTAAGGACTATTTTAGTAAGGTAATATACATAAAGGACCAAGAATATTCAAGCCCCATACATTAATGACCATTTTCTCCCTGATTGCCAGATGCCTGGTATGAAGTTTGAATTGCTCCTGTTATCAGTAGGTGTTGTCATAACTGCATGTAGTGGGCATTATGTATTCACCAGGGAGGATGGTCCAGTGAAATCCCTTGGTTTTTACTCTTGAGCCTAAACCAATTCGAAATGCTTGTTTTCACGAGTTGAGGTAGTCAAAGAATTAAAATTTTCTGTAGCGAAAAAAATCAAAGATCCCAGGAACTGTGATGTATAAGTAAAATATAGGTATTTCGTGTCACAATCTACAAGACCTATTTGTGGGAGACAGGCTAAGTCTAGTATTATATAATGTCTATTATTAGGTTAAGAGATAAGATCACCGGAAAAAGCTTACCCAGGTGGTACCATATGTACAACTACAATAAGAGTTAACATAGGAATAGTAAATGTACAAAGGAACACAAAACTGTGATAGGCCAAATTAGCCTGACTATGGATAGTCTCTTAAGTCTGTTCTATATAATTCTAACTTTCTAAGTGAACTCAAAGAATAAACCTTTGAGGTGTTTCAATTTCAACTTTCTGAATTAGGGGTCTTCCCATTTTCAAAGCATCTTACAATTATTTATATCATGATATTGTCTTGAGACTGCATTCCCATGTTTGTCCCTGGTTGTTAGATCTTTATTCCGAGAGAATAGGGAATAGAAGACAAAACTGGAATGGATGATTAACTGTCATTTCTATATTCTAACTTACCCGAAATGGTATGTATTCCTGCACAATAAATATGCTAGATTTCTCATTACTTTTTTTTTTTTTGGAAATTCTCAGGATATAAGAAGGGGTCTGAATTCTGTAAGGAGGATTTGCAGAGAGTATGAAATCTCTGGAGTATTTGGACCAATTTTTGAGTTGCTTGAATGTGAGGACAAGTTTTTTACAGCTGTTGAAGTTACTGCTGGAAACAGGTATTGATCAAAGTTCTGCCAAGGACAAGAAGCTGTTGAATGCTGATTATTGTCTTTTGCAGCTTGCCAAGCTACAACACTGCTTTGTATCTGTTCGGTGCTTATACTGACACGACTTGCTCTCTCTGTCTTTGCAGCTTATTCCATGTTGTGGTTGATAATGATGAAACATCAACTAAAATTATTAGACACCTCAATGCTCAAAAAGGTGGACGAGTTACATTTATTCCATTGAACAGGGTTAAAAAACCACATGTTAATTATCCACAGGGCTCTGATGTGATTCCGCTTCTGAAGAAATTGAGGTTTTCTGATTCATATTGTAGGGCATTTGAGCAGGTCTGTAATTTAGTTTCACCTAGTATTGCAATATTCTCAATCACTTCAGTCATGGCCTAAACAGCCTTTTGTGTCTGGTCCTTTGGGGCTTTTGTTGTAGATTTTCACTTGCCTAATCTGTCTAGGATCAGTACAATTTTAATTTTTGTTCATATACAGATTACATATAGTTTTCTGTTAGATCTTTATATACTTCATCCATGATCAGAAAAAAAAGAAAAAACTAAGTTGTGGCTGTGGTTGTCTTCTCTACTCTTTTAACTGGAAGTTTGACTGGATTGTGGAGTAACCATCTTGATTCAATTTGTATTTTTATTCTTTTAGTTTTAGTATATTCAGTAAAGCTGTTATTACTTCTCACGCCTATTATTCCAGTAAAGAGTTTATATATTTATCTCTGCTAGGTGTTTGCAAGAACTGTAATTTGTCGAAATCTGGATGTTGCCACCAGGGTTGCTCGTACCGATGGGCTTGACTGTATCACTCTGGAAGGTTAGTTCGCGAGCGACCTTATTCTGACTACTTTGATTGGTTTTTAGTAGAATTATCCTGATCTGACCTGCCTTGTTTTTGCAGGTGACCAAGTTAGTAAAAAAGGTGGCATGACTGGTGGATTTTATGATCATAGACGCTCAAAATTGAGGTTTATGAGCACCATCAAACAGAATACAGTGTCCATCAACCTGAAGGAGCGTGAACTTGAGGAAGTTAGATATAAACTTCAAGATATCCTTACTGGGTTTCTTTACATCTTAACATTGTTCAGTACCCTTTTTACTTTGGTGTGTTATTCTTTTCGATCTTTGCTAATACTATTGCTGAAGGTAATTCCCTAGACTTCTGCATACACTTCACTCATTTTGTTCTTGACATCACACATCTTTGGCTATGTTACACGGTCAGTGGTTTCTAGCAACTGTGAAATTTTAGCTAACTAGTAGGTGCTAGCACCTGTGGAACTTTTCCTCAGATGATATGGTTCGAACTCAAACTAGAAACTTAGTTAATGAAACAACCGCTAATGTTATAATTGCATGTGTGTTCTTTCCTCATCATTTTAATTTGCGAAAGGGGCTTACAGTGCACGAAATGCTCGTTTTCTAGTGAGAGGTGGGAGTATATGTACAGCCTTCTCCTTCCTTTTGTGCAAGAGAGGCTGTTTCCATGCATGTTTCCTCCAACTTGTAAGTTCATTGAGGAAGCAACTCAGCTGTCGCACCATTGTCTATTCACTTTCATGTGAATTTGATTCCGTGTATAAATGAGTCACGTGCATTTAGTTAATTGCTTGAACAATTTTAGGACACAAATTACAAATGCTATTTATTTGAAATATACAGACAGACGTACTAAAATGCCAGTAGTTAGTGCTCTATAAGTTGGATTAAACAGTGTGGAGATATTTTCAGGTTGACATCCAGTCTGCCTCGTTAAGCAAATCAATCTTCTGGTAAGGCACCACAGAAAGTTAAGGACTGGGTGGCAGGCTACAAAAGCTGAAATGCCAAAAACTTGTCAAAAGGCAGCCTGAGTGTTGTATGATCTCTATTAACTAATACAATTTGAACATAAGTCTTCTCACTTGAGCTTGGAATGTATTAAAAGAATTAATGGGCTCTGAGATTATGGAACTTCAATATGTACAAAATTAATACTATATAATTCCGGGGTTTTCTTTTATAATAAATTGGAGTAAAATTCCCTTCTGTGTTTTACTCAACATGCATCACTTATTTCCTTTTACTCTTGAAAGTGCTGCCAACAATTTTTGTGTGGATTAGAAAGTTAGAGGCAACAACAAGGTCTTATAGTTCTCCTTTCTTGGTGTCACGGGCTTTATTTATCCAGTGTTCTAAGGATGTTCAAAGTATACCTTTCACCTTTTGTTCTTTCACTTAGCTTTTCCCACATATAGACCAGAAAATTAATGAACTTGTGGCTGAGCAGCAGAAAAATGATGCTGGCCTGGGTCACGACAAGTCTGAGTTAGAACAGCTTAAACAAGACATTCTTAATGCTGAAAGACAGAAACAATCCATCTTAAAAGCTCTTCAAAAGAAGGTGCCTCCTGTTGAAAATCTTTTGAATCTCTTGCTTCTACTATGTTTCTTCTACAATTAGAGACTGTCGATATGTGCAGGAGAAACTGCTTGGTAATATTCTGAATCAAATAGATCAGCTCAGAGCTAGTATAGCTATGAAACAAGATGAAATGGGAACAGAACTTGTTGATCATTTAACGCCGGAAGAGCGAGATTCTTTGTCACGTTTGAACCCTGAAATCACGACTCTGAAGGAGCAGCTGATTGCTTGCAGGGCAAATCGGATAGAGGTTTGTCGATGTCAAGATTACTTAAGTCAGTATATGACATATTGATACAAATCAATTTCTCGTTTTCTATTGGCTTTTGTAGACTGAAACTAGAAAAGAGGAGCTTGAGATGAATCTGTCAACAAATCTTGAAAGACGAAAGCAAGAGTTAATGGCTATGAATTCTTCTGTCGACGTTGATATGCTACAGGCTGAAGTTGAGAGCAAGTATCAGGAACTTAAGGATGCGGACTCACTAGTTGATCATGTCACTAAAGAGCTTACAAGTGAGTTCATTATTTGATTTTGAAGCTTTTGGTATCGTATACATTCAACATTTTTAATACATAAGATGGCCTGCACAGGGGTTTCTCGAAATATAGATGAACGAAACAAGAGGCTCAAGCAGATCAAACAGGAAAAGGATAATCTGAAGGCAAATATTCTCTATTCTATTTCAAGTTCACATGGCCCACGTTTAGTTTTGTGCTAATACATAATTTTTTTTACAGGCTCTTGAAGATAAGTATCAGAATACACTTCAAGATGAAGCCAGAGAACTGGAACAGATGCTAAGTAAACGGAACACCTATCTTGCCAAGCAAGAAGAATACTCTAAGAAAATTCGGGAACTGGGTCCTTTATCTTCTGATGCCTTTGAGACGTATTGCTCTTCCCTAAATATGCATATATCCTTTTCAGCATTTGAATATGGAGAACTCTATTTTGCTTTCATTTTCTTTTATTGTTTATCTTGATAGAACTTCTTGTGCTAGAAGTCACAAGCATTCGGATATAAATACAACCGCGAGTGACTGTAATGATCATAAATTCTGTTTAAATGGTGAAATTGTAAGGTGAAGAGGATTCTTGACAGTATGCCCTTTAGGTATTCAACAAAATCTAATCAATGAAGGAACAGTGATACATAGTAATATTTTCTTCTAATATTCTCTAGAAAATGAGGTTGGAGCATAAGTTGTTCCATATGTTTGGTTTGTTTGGTGAACTTCCATGGGATGTTAGAAACTTAGAATAAGAACTGATGACTGAATTGCCTATTTAAGTATCTTCTTTTGCATGTAGAAGAACCTTTAAGACCTATAACTTAATTTTAAGGTACTGTCTCACGAGTGCTTCGAATCATTGTTCATCAAAACATTGTAAACTGTCATATGAGTACAGTTTGAACTTGTTCAAGTGTTTGCATATAGTTGAAATGATGCTTTAACTAATTCACGTCCTAGAAGTGAACTCTCTCGTATTCTTCCAGCAGAATGTTGAAATTCAAGTATAGACATATTTCTGATACATCTGAGTAGCTAAATAATTGACGAAAATAGGGAATCGTGTGAAATTGATGGTTGTTGAAAGTGAGGCGATAATTTGGCGTCTGTATTACTGAGGAAAATGTCTAGATTGCTGAATAACATTTGTCTCCATCTCTTTCCATTGTAGTTTGATCTTGTTCATACTTGTGTGTTGTTGCTTTTTGTCACTCAAGAGTAAGACAGTAAGCTATCATCTTTTATCTGCTTGTTGTAATTGCATTTGTTTTTAGTCCTTTTAAATGTCTTTGCTTCATGACAGGAATAGCTTCTAGACCTGTTTCCTTGTTGCCTTCTACCCCTTCTAAAAAGTCTAGGAAAGAAATTGTGGAGATACTCTAAAGCATGCCTTATAGTATAAACCTGTGTTCAAGTGTTCAGTTGTTTAAATATGTGCACATTATAAAGCCTTTTGACCTCTAAAATTTTATTTTACACTAGGAACAGTTTTTTTTTTAAAAAAAATAGGAGGTGATATGTAACATGCAATATTACCTTTAGACAGGTGCATTGGCTTTTGTTCTTCTGACATAATGGTTGGAACTGCTTAATTGCTAGTTGACTACAAATATAATGAGGGTGTTTGTAAATGTAAAATTAATGCCATTATTTTGGTGATTAATGTAAATTCTAGGTACAAAAGAAGGAATGTAAAAGAATTATATAAGATGCTGCACAAGTGTAACGAGCAGCTGCAACAGTTCAGCCATGTAAACAAAAAGGCACTTGATCAATATGTAAATTTTACCGAGCAAAGAGAAGAACTCCAAAGAAGGCAAGCTGAACTGGATGCTGGGGATGAGGTATATAAAGCATGTATTTTGTGGATTTGAACTTGTGTATGTTTATGTTTTGATAGCAGTTGAGTTTGGCTCCCTTCATTTGTCTTGCATCAATCTTGGCAGAAAATCAAGGAACTTATATCTGTTCTGGATATGAGGAAGGATGAATCAATTGAGCGCACGTTCAAGGGCGTGGCTAAACATTTCCGTGAAGTATTCTCTCAGCTTGTTCAAGGAGGTCATGGGTTCTTAGTTATGATGAAGAAAAAGGTTTGTTTTGTTTGTCACATAGCACATTATGTGTCTTTCCATTGGGCTACCTCTTGCTCATTTTCGTACTTCCTCTTGTTCTGTTCAAAGTTCTCATTATGGTGCACTTGCAATAAACAGATCCTGTGTATATGATAAGTCTCATGGAAATTAAACCAAAATTTATACAAATGAGTTATTCTATAAGTCATGTAGATATGTTTAAACAAAGTGCAAATATAGACTTTAAGAGATTTAAATTTTGGAAATAAAAATGTCTTAATGAGAGTAATCAATATGGTTACATATGGCCAAGTACCTCTCCACAGTGGAAGGTAAATTATATTGTGCTTATAATGACAACCATTTACTTTTCTTTGAAATTTGTCACAGAATTTGACTGATGTGAGTGAGCTAAGAAACAGAAACTCAATAGATGGTGCTCAACAAATTATTTGAAGAGGAAACACTTGAAAAACAATAAACTAATAGAATTGGCAATATAAGAAAGTGAGAGTATATCGATTGCTGAACTTCTTGAATGCTTAGCTGGCTTAGAAAATCAAAATATCTCACTCATGGAGTATTCAGTAGATTACATACAGCTAGAACTTAAACTTCAAAGGAAGAATTCAATAAATTGTCCAATGAAAAATGGAGAGATTAAGAGGCTATAATAAATGGAGTAGCACTTAAACACAGCGACAGACATAACTCTATAGCATAATAGTTATACGAGTGGTCCTCTGAGCATAAAAAAAAGTTGCACGAGTGGTATTCCGGATTGTTAACCTTCTTGTTGTAATTTCTAAGTATTAATGCCAGTGCCAGATAATATACAGTACACTTTGGGATTACATACCCGTGGCTAGTTTTTTTTTTTTTGAACTTAGTAACTTGGTATTATATCACAACCAGTACATGGGTTGTACTGTAACCTTGTATACATATGTACTGCAAATTTTACTGCCCTGAACCTAAATTGAGTCTAGAACATCAACTATAGAGACAGTTTCATTTGAGTATACCTGGTTACACCAAAAACATAACAACACAATGCAGTTTAGTTTAACCTTCTGCTCACTATTCTCTATGCTCTCAAAACACCTAGAATTCCTCTATTTCCAAGTTGACCACCATATAGCAGCAGGGATAATTCTCCATCTGTCTCTGTTTTTAGCATGTACTCCTGCTTCCTCCCAGCTCTTCAGAGCCTCTGAGACTTTCTTGGGCATGGTCCAGGAGATGCCTTTGAGACTTAGAAAGATTCTCCGTAGCTTAAGGGTGTAAGTGCAGTGTAGAAACAGATGGTTCACTGTCTCATATGTTTCCTTACAAAGAAAATATCTCGAGCATAAAGTTATCCCTTTCTTCATCACATTGTCCTGAGTCAAAGCTGCTTCTTTGGCCAATAACCAGATGAAACAGGATATTTTGTAAGGTATCCTATTTTTCCAAATTTGCTTCCATGGCCAGTTTAGATTATGATTACTAGGTCTGCTAGTATATTCCTCATTTTCAATATGACTTCCTAGGGCTAATGGTATTTCTTTGGTTCTCGCTTTCTAATTTCTCCTTAAAATCATTAGATTCCACCATTATAAAATGGGTGATGGAATATTTGTTTGCCGCCTCTTCATTTCCTGTCAAGAAAACACAATTGATGGTCCCAGAAACATCTGTGTATTATTACCCTGTAGGTGTCCTTTAATAGTGTATTGCATGTAACATTGTCACTAAGAATTACTAAGCTGATACATACTTGGCTAGTTATCATTATCAGAATTTGCCTGTATAAAATGGTAGTTTTCACATTTATTTTGTATGGATGAACTTCTGGAAGTACATGGGTCTGTGTAAGTTGGCTTTCTTAAATGATGAGGATCACTAGAGTCTTGTGTTGTTGCTTCTAGGATGGTGAGGAAGATGACAATGATCCTGATGATGATGAGCCGCGTGCTGATGCAGAGGGAAGAGTTGAGAAATATATTGGTGTGAAAGTGAAGGCATGTATTTCTTACCATTTTATCTTCTGCTGATTGTGATCATCTCATCGAGTCATCATTATTGAATTCTATTTTGGAGCAATAGTTCCGATAATCATACAAAAAACTAGTCAGAGAATTCTTGTGCTGTTTACACAATTATTTTGAAATCTTCATCTTTGAGCTAATTTTCAATTGGTACTTCAATTGAATTTAATGTTCTTATGATAGGTGTCGTTCACTGGACAAGGAGAAACACAGTCAATGAAACAGTTATCAGGGGGCCAGAAAACTGTGGTAGCACTGGCACTTATATTTGCCATACAAAGATGTGATCCTGCCCCATTTTATCTTTTTGATGAGATAGATGCAGCACTAGATCCTCAGTACAGAACAGCTGTGGGGAGTATCCTAGAGTTGAAATGATTTTCTGTGTTCCTTCTTCTCTCTCTACTGTCTCCATGTATACCTCCTCGTTTCCTTTAACTGTAATTTGCTAGATATGGTTCGTGATTTGGCAGACAGGGGTAGCACGCAATTTATCACGACGACATTTCGCCCGGAGCTTGTGAAAGTGGCTGATAAGATATATAGTGTGAGCCACAAAAATAGAGTTAGCAAGGTCACTGTTGTATCCAGGGAAGGAGCCTTAGATTTTATTGAGCAGGATCAATCACATAACTGATTGAGGTGAGTAAGAAGAGCTTTTTGATTTGTGTTAGTTAAGCCATTCAATTTGTTTTTTTATTAATCATTTAATTGGTTTTAATTTATTTTCTGGTAAAGTGGCACAAGAGGTGTGGAGGGTTGGTGAAGAAGCTCTTCTGCTACTGCGCTGCTTGTTATTGCTGATGAATCGTTGGTTGTGGAATATTGATGCTAATGTTTAATGTGTTATGGTTGTTGATGATTTCTGTAAATGTAGAAAACTTTATTGATGTAACGTTTACTTCATACAACTGCACTTATGTAATATACATATATATGAACATAGATAGCTTTGATTATTCATCTGTTTCATCATATTCAAAAATTGTTGGGTGCTACTGAAAGAGCATGCATAATTTTTTTAGACACGTCAACCAAATATAATTTAAAGAGACATGACCAATCTACAAATACTTTTCTAGTAGTAAGAACCCATCATAATCATAATTTATAGCATTTAATAATAATAATACTAATAATTCAAAGGGAAGCTCTTAATACAATTTTCTACCTTCTGCTCTTTCTTCCAGTTTCAATAATGAATAACTCACTAGCTTTTCAAGTAAGTGTCTACTCCCTTGTGTTCCTAAAGCACTGCTTGCCCCATAACTAACTTCTGGAAAAGATTTAATAGTTCCTTTTGTACCTTATCTTCTGTTGACAAGTATTCTGAAACCAGCTCTTAACATGATAAAACTTTATCCAAAAGCTGAATGTCATACACACTATGGTATCAATGCTGTCTTTTAATTCATCTTTACTGCCTGAGTAGTGAGTCCAAATCCAAAGGGAAAGAGGGGATTGTAGTTGCGATCGCCGACATTCATAGGAAGCTGGTCCACTGACTTGAACCAAGTCCTAGCAAGTTTACCAGTGAAACCATAGTCACCAAATAAAACATCTGCAACACCTTGGCCTTCAGTTCCTGGAAGCCAAGCAGCAACAACTGCATCTATCTTTTCAACATAAGGCTCTAGCACAACTGGACGACCAGAGACAATGACTACAACACATTTCACAGCCCCACAGACATTGTTAATAGTGCTAGGACCAGGTTCTGTTATTGTAAGATTTGAGCTGTCGCCCATCATCTCTGCATATGGGACTTCACCTACTACAACGATGGCATAGTCAAATTCGTTTGACTTGACAAAGTTTGCATCAGGATTCTGCTGGTACACTACTTGTGTAGAAGGATCCACAGTTTTCTTGATAGCACTTAAAATAGTGGTTCCTGTCATATATGAAAATCCATCAATTTCTCTCCATGATGCTACAAGAGTTGTATTCTATACACCGAACTATGAAAGAATTTTCATATTATCAGGTCCAACAATTAATCGCCCACGAAAAGTGGAAACTTCTAATAGGAAATAGCAGACCCCTTACCGAAAGAGTCACTTGTGGTAAAGAGGAAACTATAGAACATGAGAAGACATACCAACTGTTAAATCATTGCCTGCGACACCCTGCCATTCTATTGTCCAGCCCCCGCATTGGTAACCCAAATTGTCTGCATGAGTTCCAGCTACAAGTATCTTTGGTGCTTTCTTTGGAAGGGGAAGTAATGGCTGACTAGTACTCTTGCCATTCTTCAACAGGACAAGTGATTTCCTTACTGCTTCCCTTGCCAACTCTCGATGCTCCTACAGAGAGGCAGTGAAGCATGTTAGATCACACGTAAAAGACTTAAATCCCTAGAGTTTCTATATACCAAAGTTACCTGGCTACCGAGTTGGTTTACCAAGCTAAGGTCAGCCAGTGGGTTCTCAAAGAGACCCATGGTAAACTTAACTCTCAATATCCGCTTCACAGCATCATCAATTCTGCTCATGGGAATGATATTATCTTTCACTAATAGAGTCAGAGTATCAATGAACTCGTTGTAGTTCTCTGGAACCATAATCTGCAGCATAGACGGAATAATCATATAGAGTAACTAAAACTAACATTTTGATAAAAATGATTCGTGATCAAACATAACAAACCAACCATGTCAATTCCTGCTGAAACTCCAGCTTGAACTGAATAAGTGTAATTAGCATGCGGTGGGCTTGTAATCCGGTCAATGCCTTGCCAATCAGAAATGACAAAACCCTGAAAAAGACACAAGGCCAAAAGAGGTGTTATACATGGATATATATCCTTACTTGACCTTAACTTACTGATTCTGAATGAGCAGCTGAGCTGAGCTAATCATTCTTACCCTGAAGTTGAGCCTGTCCTTTAGGAAGCCAGTGACAAGATCTCGGTTAGCATGCATCCTTTCCCCATTCCAGCTTGAGTAAGACACCATCACCGTTGAAACACCCTTTATGATTGAATCATAATATGCAGGCATGTGGATGCCAAATAAACCATTTGAGTTAATTACAGTGTTATTTTCATCGATTCCCCTCACCGTGCCACCATCTCCTACAAAATGTTTGGCGCAGGCTGCTACCTTTGACCTTAACCAGTTGAAAGTTCAATCAAACGAATGTTCCACACCAAAGGACGATAAAAATAGAAACTTCAGGGTTGATGGTTAGAAGCTATTCAGAATCGTAATAATCAAAATGTCTAGAAATATTCTAGCACCAAAAATATTACCTTAAACAATACTTACACTCACCTTAACATTTTCTTAAACAATACTTAAATGGTTCAATTATATTTGATTCAAAGATCAACAATAAACACACTTGCTGAAGGTCATTGTCAAGATAAATACTATACTGGACCACTTATATATTATAACCAACAAGTATTTGTCAATAGCATTGATTCTTAGATCATCAAATCCAAACTTGCCCCAGTATGGCAGAGAGCTTCCATGTGAAGTGAATAAATGACATTGATACTAATAAATATCACTACATCCCACCAGTCATGTCGCCTTCTCATAAAAAAAATATGCTTATGAAGGAGTTAGTATTTAGTAAGATAATCATCTTTTTTTTTTTCCTTTTTGATGAAGTAATCTTCATTTTTATTCCTAAGCACACGTCTGGTGTAAATCATTTAAAACAGAAAAGTAGTAGATGTGAAAATAGATAGAGATTCATACTTTCCGTCAACAAAGGGAACACCCTTGCGAGAATTAGCTGGCAGATCTCCTTGTAAACCAGGAATTATCTCTGTCATGGTTCGCACAATATTGTGATCTTCACTGTAGCTTTCATAACAACGCCCCCACCTAGGGTCTCTGCATACCTACCATAACACAGTAATTCAGATAACAAAGAAATACGAATGCAACTTGACGAAAAGTTCATTCATATCAACTTACTGCAATGCAGGGAGCAAAAGCATATGGGATTCCTGTGGCTCTAACTTCAAGTGCGGTTGCAGCCCCAATACGCTTCACAAGATCAGGGTCCCTGCATTAAAGTGACAAATTTCTAACTCAAATAGGTGAAAGACAAGCATTTGGAGATTAGCGGAGCATTAGGAGAAAATGAAAACACATAACAAGATCATTTTCTTATTGGAACATAATTGAACTCAATGCCGATGATCATTTCTTGATCCTAAGGTATCAAATGATTGAAAAGTGAAAACTACCTATCATGCATCTTTATTAATTAATCAGATTTAATAGAGGAGCTCTCACCACATTTAAAAAGAAACCATATTAGTACCTTCTGATAATTAGAACAAAAATCAGATGCATTGTTGTTATAATTTATATACTTGCCTGGTGACACCAAGCCCAATATTGTGAGGAAAAATAGTAGCATTATAGACATTGTTGTGTCCATGAACTGCATCAATCCCATAAATCATTGGAATACCAAGGCGGGTTGAAAGAGCACCCTTTTGAATCTCGTTTACCATATTGATCCAATCCTCAGCAGAGGCCTTAGGTACAGGAACACTCCCTCCGCCACTCAATACACTCCCTGACAGAAGAATTTTTATAAAAATGAATTCCAATATACACTACAGTAGAAAGCAGATCAACCCCTTTTTCGTGTTTCCTTTATATGCATATGTTATCAACAAAAACAAATCCTCCTTTTTAACAAAAATGCACCCTGATCTAGAGTCATTTTTCTGTAAGCTGTATGAGATAACACATGTAGTCAAATATACATATAAAAATGTGACTTTTCTAACTCCAAATGAGCAAAGTTCTGGAATCTCTAGTGAAAATACGAGCAAGCATTCAAGAATGGTCATGTCAATCTAGAGATAAAATGAACCCCAATATACAGGATAACAATGAATAAAGAAAGGAGGTCACCCCCTTTCCCATGTTCCCTTCAAAATAACTTTTTTTTTCCTTCCAAAAATATATGATTAAAAGATAAAAATATTTTGGTATAACATAGCAATTCCCGCTGCACTAAGTATCTCATGTTCATATAAGAGTTCTGAGAAGGGCCGCAAACCCAAGGGGGCTGCTATGTAGGCATCCTACCCTGAAACAAACATTAGTTGCTGAATCCACAGCTCGTGCATCCAGCATTCACTCATGTTCAGGGATGGGCTGCACCCAAAGGGGTGTGATGTAGGCAACCTACTCTGAACAAGCATTGACTAAATCCACTGTTAGAACCCCGTGACGTAGGTCACAACCCACAACATAAACAAATTTAGTGTTTCTCCAAGTCTCCCTTCATTTAAACGCTAATGTATTTACAAAAGATTCTACAAATCCTAGGATAGATCACTTTTTAGTAATCTGTATGACATTTATAATAAGCAGCTATACACAGTGTAATCCCACAAGCGAGTTCTAAGTAGGGTAGGATGTACGCAAACCTTACCCATACTTTCCCTACTTTTGGGGTAGAGAGGTTGTTTATGATTATAAGCAGCTCAATAAACACATAAAGAATGAATTTTTAAAAACATACCAATGAAATATTGCTTCATAACATCAGGTAAGGCAACTTTTCTCTCAATCTGAGTCATCTGACCAATCTTTTCCTCAAGAGTCATCCTTTTCATCAAGTCCTTAATTCTTGTAACCATTGGCTGTTTTGGGTCCTTGTATTTTAGGTACTCTGCTTCTGCAATCACTGCCCATAAGCAGAACAACACAAAACCCTTCATGGGTATTGAAACTCTCCCCATTGTTTTTGTGCCTTCTGCTTAGCCAATCTGGTAAACCTCACAAAAAAAATAGCAGTACAGATAAAGAGCAGCACAAAAAATGTGAACAAACAAAGAAACAAGTTTGTTTAGAAGTATGAAAAAAGAAAACAGGTATTAACAAGAAATGTATAACATACTTGTTGAGCTTCTTCTACTTTGAAACAGGCAATTTTGTTGAGAATAAGTAGGCGATGAGAATATATATATATACACACACATGCACATTGAGTGACAGGGTAGTGGGGGTAATGGTGGGTAGGGTGTGAATGGACTTAGTAGGCGTTTGGTCGTGTTATATTGCGAAAATCTAGTTTTTATTTTCAAAATAAAAAATGATATTTGAAAAATTGTCTTGTTTTTTATCTTTTTTTTCTAAGTAATTTAGACTTGGTAACTTTTAATTTTTTTGAAAAATATAGAAAAAAGTGAAAATGGAAATTTTTGAATTTTTTATGCTCAAACGTGTTTTTTGGAGTTCAACTTCAGAAAGGAGTACGCCGAGGGTTTATCATTCTCTCTACGTCCACGAGATAGTGATTAAATTTGCGTATACTTTATTCTCTCGGATCCCACTTAATGCAATTTTACTGAATTTGTTATTATTGTTGTTGTAACTTGTTAAAGGAGTGAAAAATTTCTATGGCTAAATGCCCCCTCCACCATACAAAAAGTTTAAATTTGTTTTGTATTAAAAAGAAATCTTTAGTTGCATGATAGTAATATTATTTGGGTGTTAAGCTTTTGCCATTTGAAAATAAAGATAAATTTAGCTTATTTTATTTATTACAAGGATATATTTGATTCTATTTATTAACGGATGACAAATCTATTATATTTGACGAGAACATATTTGACTCCAATTATTAATTATTTTCATTAAAAAAAAGTTTATCTGAAAAAAAAAAGCAATTGGAATAAAAATTTGTTTGTGTGACTTTTCGGCTAACATTTTTCGAAGTAACATTTCCAGTCACGAAATTTCATTGGGATCCTTTTATTGGAACGTAGTAGGTGGCTATTTTTAGAAAAACCAATCATGTGACAGAAAAATTGCAAACAAGTCCTTTTAAAGTTTTGAAAAGAGCAATAGAGCTCCTAAGAATTGGAAAATTGACAAACAAGTTGAACTTATAATTTTAAAAAAAAAACTGAAGTGTCATTTTTTTTGTCATTTATTCTTTGAGAAAACTTATTTTATGCTGTCCTTGTGAGTATTGAGTGTAGGGTAAGGAGAAAGCAAAAGAATGAATTAGAAAATATTTGGATGGATCAAATTTGAGGTAATAAAAAATATAGATTAAATCTAATCAAATGACTTAAACGTTAAGGTTGTTTTGGAATTGATGGATTTGATTTTATTAGTGGGTTAGTAGCTAATTCAAATTGTAACGTTAATATTTGATCAAAAGAATGTTTGTAGATGATAACTACCATTTTGTTCTTGATCATTTTTAATCTTATCTAGAATGGGTATTTATTTATTTTATCGAGCTAGGGAAAGGGGGGAAAATAAGGGAGGGAATTACAATGTGGAGAATCAAATTCTCACCAATAAAGTATTTTTTTTTAGATAATCATCAATTGAACAACTAAAATTTCCTATGAATATTAATAACCAAATCAGAATATTTATTATTGAAGTGTTAGATTACACAATTTGGAACTTGAAATGCTAATAAAACCAAATAATCAATTAAGTGGTAGTATTACAAAGAACTATCAATATATTGAATGCTCCATTTTGGTTCTATTGATAGTGAAGCAAACTCTTCTTCTTACCCTCCCTAAGAGCTACCATTTGCTTGCTCCCCGATGACTCGAACTCACAATCAAGGTGAAAGATGATTATCATAATTGGCGAGATAAAACTAAAAGAATTATTGAATCGGTATCTATAATATATAAGATGCAATTACAATAAAAATGATCAAGAACAATTTTAATTTATTTAAGATCAAACATAACTTGATCGTAAATATCCAGTCCTTCCAAGACTGAAGCTATCAAAGCCTATTTATATAATTCACCTTCCCAGTTTACTCCATCCCGAGCTTACATTATACTTCGCTACAGAAAAAGCTTCACTATTAAATCTCTTGTACTCTTTTAGTATATGGAAGGATGTTCCTTTCTCTGCGTACATTCTACCCTTCACAGACCTCACTTGTGACTTGTGAGATTTCACTGGATATGTTGTTGGTAACTTACTAAACAATCTAGTACTAAGATTCAACTAGCCATATCTGAATTTGAGTTCAAGTTGTTCTTTTATCACCTTGGTTGAAGCCACATGTATGTGTCATACAAAACTAAGGTGTTGAAAAAATCAGTTGCATTAATGTGCATAACTCAAAATACAGCTAGGTGAAAGTTAAACATTAGCAGTAATAACCCATTATAATCATAATTAATACTAGCAATTAGTAATACTACTGCTACTACAACAACAACATACCCAGTCTAGTCACACAAAGTGGGATTATTATAATAACACAACAACAATAACATACCTAGTTCTAATTCATTTTCACTGGCTGAGTTGTGAGTCCAAATCCAAAGGGAAAGAGGGGATTGTAGTGTGGATCGCCAACATTCATAGGAAGCTGGTCAACTGACCTGAACCAAGTCCTAGCAAGTTTACCAGTGAAACCATACTCACCAAATAAAACATCTGCAACACCTTGGCCTTCAGTCCCCGGAAGCCAAGCAGCGACAAGTGCATCTATTTTATCAACATATGGCTCTAACACAACTGGACGACCAGAGATGACGACTACAACACATTTCACAGCCCCACAGACATTGTTAATAGTGCTAGGACCAGGTTCTGGTATTGTAAGATTTGAGCTGTCACCAAACATCTCTGCATATGGGACTTCACCTACTACAACAATAGCATAGTCGAATTTGTTTGACTTCACAAAGTTTGCATCAGGATTCTGCTGGTACACTACTTGTGTAGATGGATCTACAGTTTTCTTGATAGCACTTAAAATAGTGGTTCCTGTCAAATATAGAATAATGCTACAAGAGTTTAAGTTGTATACGCTGACATGTAAAACAATTGTCATATTATCATTAATCAATTAGTAGCTATCTATGTGTTGTTACTCCTAATACGAAATAACAGTTCCCTTACCGACTATGAAATTATTGCCTGAGACGCCCTGCCATTGATTGGTCCAGCCTCCGCATTGGTAACCCAAATTGTCAGCATGAGTTCCAGCTACAAGTATCTTTGGTGCTTTCTTAGGAAGGGGAAGTAATGGCTGACTAGTGATCTTGCCATTCTTCAAAAGGACAAGCGATTTCCTTACTGCTTCCCTTGCCAACTCTCGATGCTCCTGCAGAGTGGCGGTGAAGCATGATAGATCACAGTGATTCACACGTAAAAGACGTACTTAGATCACAAGTATTGAAACAGTTTCTGAATATCAAAGTTACCTGGCTACCGAGTTGGTTTACCAAGCTAAGGTCAGCCAGTGGGTCCTCAAAGAGATCCAGGATAAACTTAACTCTCAATATCCGCTCTACAGCATCATCAATTCTACTCATGGGAATGATATTATCTTTCACTAGTAGAGTCAAATTCCCAATAAATTCTGCGTAGTTATTTGGAATCATAACCTGCAGCATAGCGAAACAATCATATAGACTATCATTTTTGCTAAAAATGATTCGAGATCAAGCAAAACAAACCAACCATGTCAATTCCTGCTAAAATTCCAGCTTGAACTGAATAAGTGTAATTAGCATCAGGTGGGCTTGTAATCCGGTCAAGGCCTTCCGAATCAGAAATGATGAAACCCTGAAAAAGATGCAAGGCCAACAAATGTGTTATATAACTACTTGACCTTGACTTACTGATTTTGAGTGAGCAGAGCTAATCATTCTTACCCTGAATTTGAGATTGTCCTTTAGGAAGCGAGTGACAAGATCTCGGTTAGTGTGCATCTTTTCCCCGTTCAAGCTTGAGTAAGAAATCATCACAGTTGAAACACCCTTTATGATTGAATCGTAATATGCAGGCATGTGGATGCCATATAAACTAGTTCTGTTAATTACAGTGTTATTTTCATCGATTCCCCTCTCCGTGCCTCCATCTGCAACATAATGCTTGGCACAGGCTGCTACCTTTGACCTTAAACAGTTGAAAGTGCAATCAAACGAATGTTCCACGACAATCATCATCAGGAAAGTAGTATAGTAGATGTGAAAATTGATAAAGATACATACTTTCCGCCAACAAAGGGAACACCCTTGCTAGAATTAGTTGGCACATCTCCTTGTAAACCAGGAATTATCTCTGTCATGGTTCGCACAATATTGATATCTTCGCTGTAGCTTTCATAACAACGGCCCCACCTAGGATCTCTGCACACCTACCATAACACAGTTATTCAGATAATAACAAAGAAATTGAAATGCAACTTTACCAAAAAGTTCATTCATATCAACTTACTGCAACGCAGGGAGCAAAAGCATATGGTATTCCTGTCGCTCTAACTTCAAGTGCGGTTGCAGCACCAATCCGTTTCACAAGATCAGGGTCCCTACATTAAAGTGACAAATATTAACAGGATCATTTGAAATGATGAACAAAAATCAGATGCATAGTTGTTGTAATTTATATACTTGCCTGGTGACACCAAGTCCAATATTGTGAGGAAAGATAGTTGCATTATAGACATCGTTGTGTCCGTGAATTGCATCAATCCCATAAATCATTGGAATACCAAGGCGGGTCGAAAGAGCAGCCTTTTGAATCTTGTTTACCATATTGACCCAATCCTCAGCAGTAGCATTAAGTCCAGGAGTATCCCCTGGAACACTCAACACACTCCCTGCCCAGAAGAATTTCTATAAAAATGAATTTCTAATATACACTGCAGCAGCTATACCCAGTGTAATCCCACAAGCGGGGTATGATGATGTTACTGTGTACGCAAACCTTACTCCTACTTTTTATGGGGTAGAGAGGTTGTTTCCGATTATAAACAGCACTATAAACACATAAAGAATGAATTTTTAAAAACATACCAATGAAATATTGGTTCATAACATCAGGTGAGGCAAATCTCCTCTCAATCTGACTCATCTGACCAATCTTTTCCTCAAGAGTCATCCTTTTCATCAAGTCCTTAATTCTTGTAGACATTGGCT